ATATATATATATATATATATATATATATATATATATATATATATATATATATATATATATATATATATATATATATATATCAAGTATTGTAAGAAATATTGTAAGAAATTATATTTCGTATTAAATGCATATTACGCGTGTCCATATATAAGTTTGTACTTTACTTCGGGAGCATCCGCGTCTGCAAAAAACCTTCGATATAAATAGTATATTTCACATGAGAAAGCTGGCAGGGTTCGGTAAGATGAGGCTTGATGCAAACGTCATTCATTGAATTATTGTCTATGATGGTACTCTCGTTAAGCTACTATTGACGGTGGTACCCAGCCACCAAAACCTCGTTCCAATTCTTCCGCAACGGCGAGCGTCAGGCGATCTTGATAAAGTCCTCCTACGACCTGCGTAAAAATGTATATTTATTATATGTTATTAAGATAGTGTCGTTAATTTTATTACAAAAATATATAGCAATTTATACTTGAATGCCAATGGGAAGCCCTTGTTTGTTTAAACCTAAAGGACAAGCCGTAGCCGGTAGGCCTAACACATTAATGATTGCGGTATAAGAGAAGTTAAAAGGTTTAATCAACGGTTCGTGGTGCATTGGAGCTGCAGTTGGATGAGTTGGATACAAGAACACTCCATCTTCTCCGAGAATATCCTAACGGAACACGAGAAATAATATAAAATAATGACAGTGTCTTCTCTCTCTCTCCCCCCTCTTTCTCTCTCTCTCTCTCTTTGACATAACATGAGACACTTAAATTAATTTAATAATTCTTACTTTAAATTCCTGGAAAAGGTCTTTGCTTTCTTGTATGAGCTTAACGTGTTTCTCACTTCCGTACTTCATGCCACATTTCTCAAACATGGCAGTGAGAAGAGCGACCAGAGTATGATTACTCATAAAGAATATCCATTTGACGAATTCCAACCAGACGTTAAGATGACCCTGCCTATTGGTCAGCTCGTACGAAAAGTCTTTATCGTCCTTGCACGTCATGTTCGCCAACCAAAGAGCTAAGCCCTTTCTCAACTTTTTAATATTTATTTTCGTAGCTTTAATATTGTGCGCTTTCTCAAAGTAATTTAATACTTGTTTCATGGTAGTTTTAATTTCCGGATCTACGGGTGAGATCAGTCGTTGACCACCGTCATCCTCCATATAATAGATCTAAATTTGAAGCAATAAAATTATTAATCTTGCTTTTCGCCATCGCGAAAATAAGAGCGCGCGCAATATATAACGTGAGGGTAAAATAAAACCAACCAGAGAATTAGATTGACTTGCCTTGATTCGTGAAATGTCCACTTTTTGATCCAGATTTAGTAAATCAGCTTTCTTATCCACGAGAATTTTCAAAGTCAAAGTAACATCATGCGCGTATCTACACATTGGTCCAATAGCAAGTAATTGATCTTGATCGTCGCTGTGTGCACTAGGATATTGACCGTCGTTGGAGATCACTCCTACAATAAAAAAGAAACACGTTTCCGTAACGCGTAAGTAATAAGGGTCGTATGTGCGAGCCAAGCTTTCAATCTTCCTCATCACTCACCTTTGGATGGCTTGTGGCCAAATATACCATTGAAGAACGCTGGCATACGAATAGAGCCGCCAATATCTGAGCCAATTCCAAGCGGCGATCCAGCTGCCGCTTGTATGCAACCTTCACCACCCGAGGAACCACCCACAATACATCTTAAAAACGAATTACGATGAAATAGAAAAAACATTATTCGAGAATTAAATCTTTGATTAAATTTGGACATCGATTTGACTTGAGCGTGTAGCCTTTCAATAATTGAGAATTCTTAGTAAATGACACCTCTTTTTCTTTTGAAGCATGTCGTGATGTAAGACACCGGATTAGGTATGATGATGTAACATGCTATACCTGGTATTGTAGGGGTTCTTAGTAGTGCCGAACAAGCAGTTACTGCTCTCCCACCACATCGCCAATTCTGAGACATTTGTCAATGCCAGAGGTATAGCTCCAGCTAACCTCATTAATTCTATCGCTTTTGCATCTCTGTCAACGATGACGTTTTTGCGTACGACAAGACCAGCCGTTTGACACATGTTTGCGACAGCGATGCAATCCTGTAATACGATTATTAAAACCATACATATCTTTTCGCGGTTTTATTCTCGTGCTAAAACACGATTACAGTCATGTAATTTTAATGTTAATGAACATGTAAAAACGGAAGCATGGTTGTTATGTAATTTATCATTACTGCTGAAATAAAATTAAAGATTAATAACAACTAGTTATTATTACCTTCGTCGTGAAAGGTACTCCAAACAACGGTTTCTCTTTTTCCAAAAATTCAACGGACGGGGCATCTTGAGATTTCAATAATTCGTCGCATTTCTTCGCGTCTTTGAGAGCCTCTTCAAAACGGTCTTGGACTACGCAGTTGACTATCGGTTGGATCTCCTTTATTCTTTCTATGTAAGAAGATACCACATCCTCTGATGTTAACTGTGAACAACAGAAAGTTATACCACCAACTTGATTGACAGCAATTATAGACATATATATATATATATATATATATATATATATATATATATATATATAT